GAGCATGGAGGTTCCCTCCGACCGATTGCGTTCGCGAGCCGTACGTTGACACCGGCGGAGAGGAACTACTCAGTAACCGAGAAAGAGTGTCTGGCGATAGTTTTTGCTCTCCGTAAGTTTGACTTTTACATAGACGGAGTTGCGTTTGTGATTGAAACGGACCACATGGCGCTCACGTGGTTGAGGCGTTTGAACGAACCAAGTGGCCGATTGGCGCGTTGGGCATTGTTGCTGCAGCGTTATGACTTCACCGTCCGCTACCGCAAGGGTAAGAACAATGCCGCGGCCGACGCACTATCGCGTGCTCCAGTTCGACACGAGGCAAGTCACGCGACTAATTCGGAACGAACTGAGAGCGAGACACTCGCGCTAACGCAAACAGCGGAGCAAACGTTAGTTCGAGCTAAGAGCGTGAACCACGTAGAGGCTGTCGTTAGCGCAGGGATTGTTTTCAGCAGAAGGGAGCTGTTAGAAGCTCAGCAGAAAGATCCATTTTGTCGAAAGGTGTTCGACGGGCTCCGGGAGCCGGGTGGTAGTGAGGCCACCGCGCACAAGGGGGCAGCTGGTATTGCTGTCGGTGCGGAGCGCTCGGCAACAGCTGGTAGTGCTGTGAGCGCGCTGGATTCATATCTGCTAGATTCTGACGGCGTCCTGCTGAGGTACATTCCATCCGACGATGACACAAGTGAGTCATTTAAAGTCGTGATACCGCGCGCGTTGAGAGGAGCGCTTCTTCGCTACTTTCATGACTCGTGCATTGGTGGGCATGCGAGCGGCCCTAAGACTTACGCTAAGTTGTGTCGCCTCGCTACCTGGCCAGGTATGAAGCGGGATGTGATTCGCTACGCCCGTTCATGTCGTGTGTGCCAAAGCGTCAAGCCGCGAGGAGGACGTCCGCCCGGCCTCATGCAACCGATTAACAGTCAGACTCCCTGGCAAATCGCAGCGTGTGACGTAATGGGCCCGTACCCCTCAACTCCTAGCAGAAATAAGTTCTTGCTGGTGATCACGGATCACTTCACTAAATGGGTAGAACTTTTTCCCCTTAGGAAGCTGACGGCTCGAGTGATTTTAGAGAAGTTGATGGAGGTTTTTACCAGGTTCGGGTTCCCCGAGCAGTTGATTACAGACAACGCGTCTTATTTCACTGCGAAGGTGTTTGTTGACACGTGCGCCGCGTTGGGCATTAAGCACAAGAAAACAACCACCTACCATGCTCAGTCGAACCCCACGGAGCGAGTCAATCGCAACATCAAGCACATGCTTGTCGCGTTCTCTGAAAGACATAAGGACTGGGATACCTATCTTCCAGAGATCGGTTTTGCATTACGATCGACCGTAAACCGATCGACTGGGTATGCGCCTTCTTCTCTGAACTTGGGGAGAGAACTGCCGAATCCGATGGAGACCGTACTCGCGGACCGCAGTGGAGTGCCAGTGGCGACATCAGCACGCGCTGAATACGCAACGCAGCTGCGCGAGAAGCTAGCGGAAGCTTTACATAAAGCTCGACATAATCTCCGCACTGCTAGGGCACAGCAGAAGGCGCAGTATGACCGCACGCGTAGGAACGTACACTACGAAGTGGGCGATCTGGTGATGCGGCGCCATCATGTTCTCAGTAATGCTAGCAAACAGTTTGCTGCCTCGCTGGCACCGAAATGGTCCGGGCCGTACCGAGTGCGAGAGAAAGTTTCTTCGCTCGTTTATCGACTCGCGAACATGAAAGGCAAACCGAGCGGCGGACCGGTGCATGTATGTGACTTGAAACGCTACATAGCACGGGAGGCGCATGAGGACTACGGTCAGTCCCCCTCCAAGCCGCGCGCGGCGGGTGAGATGGTTCGACACCGGGTCAGGAGCCCAGAACCGCGCTACTTCCTGCGTAACAGTCGGAGGCAACTATGCACGGTAGGCCGCGTTTGATATGTTCGACGCGGGGTGCAAGGGTTAGCGCGCAACACATGTGCGATTGTTAACCTGTCGTTCTTTATCTGTATCACTCTCACCGAACAGATGGAGCGCCATTGGGAACAGCACCGCCGGAACAGCAAGGAGAGGAGACCACCTCCTTACGGCCAGCCCCCACCCCCACCAACGTCCACATGGCAGCCCTACCCCACTGCGGCCCGGCCGCGAACGCCGAGGCAGAGCCACTCGAGCCGCCGCCACCGAGGGGGTCCGCGCGCGCTGCCGCCTGGTCACCAACTCTCGGCTTCGCCGTCACCATCACGACCCGCCGGTTCACAGGGAACGAGACCAGGGTCCCAACGCGGCGAGCCGACCGCATCGCCTCACGGCCGCAACCACCGAGACGTGGCAACCTGGACCAGCCAGGATGGAGGCGACCCTCCGGTGTCTTACGTCTCCTCGAGGCCCTGGCGCCGGCAGGAAAGGGCCCGAGTTGGGGTCGCCCCAGCGCACCTGTATCGCCCTTTTCAGGGGCGCACGGTAGAGGACGCGGACCGGAGGGCTAACGGGGCTTGCCTTCCAGTGCCCGCAGGGACGCGGTTCTGCGAGTGCGGCGCCGTGGTGATCCATAACTCCCACGAATTGGGGAAATTACACCGGCACCGCACCCAGGCTACCCAACCATCCAGCCGCGAATCATCCCAGGAGCGCTCCGGCGCCGCGGTTCGGGCCATGCTGGCGCGGGCGGCCCAGGAGGCGGACTTCGCGCAGTGGCTGCTGAGAGTTGCCTCAGGCCACGCGTCCAGCGAGAGTCCGCCTGCGCCGCTATCAATAACGGCTACCGTAGAGCGGGGGGCGGCGGGGCCGGGAGAGACATTGGTGGCGGCTGCATTGACACCGGAGGTGGCGTCAATGACCTTGGAGGCGGGTGAGAGAGCGGTGGGGGCTCCGGCGGTGCCCGCGGCAGACACCGAACGGTCCGAGGGCATGGACGTAGACCAGGCCCTTCTGGCCTATCTAGAGGACGAATAAAACGAATTATTCCCTCTTTGCAGTCTCTGTCGTTCGGGGGCCTTCTTAAGGGGGGAGGAGATGTGGGGAGCAGGTGCGCCCAGCCTCCCTTTCCCTTTTAGGGCAGCGCACGCGCCTGGTTGCGGGGACCCCTTCCCCCACGGCCGGCGCGTGCGATTCCCCCCCCTTTCCCGGCGCCAGGAACAGGTTCCCCTCTCCCTCAGCGAGGAAAGGTGCCATTCTCGTCAGGGAGAGGGAAATCGGGTCGGGGAACAAAACGAGCGGGCAAACGGGCGCTCGCGGTCTGACACCAGCGACCATCCCAGGAGGACGAACCCGCAACCCCTCCTGCGAGCCGAGGACGTCCACGACCGAGGTGTAAGCGTCAACACCTTTGTTATCTGTAGTATCTCCCCGCGACAGTGACGCGCGATTGCTAACGCTTAGCAATAAAGTGTTTGTTGTTGATCTGGCCAGTTGCCTTATTCGCCCGAACCCGTAGTAGTAGCTGCAATGAGGCAAGCTACGGTTGGGGGACGTTAACCGTGCACGGAACGACTGTGTGCGGCTGAAACATTAGCTATAGGCTTCTGCGTCAGCCGTACATAGGACGGTCCCCCAACAGTATAAGTTGTTCTAGATCACTTAGCGCCTCTTTGTTCTTACCTCTTGATGTTTTATTCGTCGCCTTTCGAAACATCGTGCGAGTGCGTTCGTGCTTGTCTCGCACGAGCGTTTATAGAGAGTTTCAGTACTGCGGAATGGTGCTACGTACGCATCACGCAAGCGCCTTGCGTTACGTGACGTCGTTTGTCACTAATCGGCTTTTAGTACGCCGTAGTACCCGCGTACGTAACGAGCGTGAAGCGTGTTGCACCACCTGGTAGATCAAAATAGAAGCACGTGTTGTTGACAGCCAATCTGAGCCAATCCAAGTGTTATAGCCAGATTATGGCCATATTTTAAGCCACAGAGTCGGTCTGTGCTTGCCTTCGATGCCGCCATTTTGCAAAACGAAGTCTCGCGCTGTCGCGAACTTGTTCGAGAGCGGCGCGATCAGCTCGTACACACGCACGCATCTCATGCGTGCGTACGTAGCGGCTGCGTACGTAACGCGATACGTGCGCGTTGCGGTCTGCGCATGCGCACTACGCAGAACGTGGCATCCTTAAGTACGCAACGCCGCCACGTACGCAGCGTACGCAGTACTAAAACTCTCTCAAAACGATAAAAGCCAAACATGAGACGTGCGTAGTCACATACCTTGCTGACTGAACTTCTTGCATCGCCTCCACAGCGTTGCACCTGATGTATGAAATGGTGCATATGCACTGTGAATCCTGCCCCGCCGCGGTGGTCTAGTGGCTAAGGTACTCGGCTGCTGACCCGCAGGTCGCGGGTTCAAATCCCGGCTGCGGCGGCTGCATTTCCGATGGAGGCGGAAATGTCGAGGCCCGTGTGCTCAGATTTGGGTGCACGTTAAAGAACCACAGGTGGTCAAAATTTCCGGAGCCCTCCACTACGGCGTCTCTCATAATCATATGGTGGTTTTGGAACGTTAAACCCCACAAATCAATCAATCAAGCACTGTGAATCCTGCATGTGTGAGTCGAACCTTACGAATACTCGCATACTTGCTAGGAGCAAGGCCACTGTGGTACGTGAACTTTTGAAGGCGTATCTTATCAATATGAAACCACATGTGTGCATCAGCGACACGTGTATTATTCTGCATTAAGCTGAAGCGTGGCATTGTTTGCCATTGTCCTGTGCGATTGTAAATACGCCCATGTCTGCATGTACCTTGCATAAAAAGGAGCCTAATAAATGCAGTAGCAAGTGACGTGCTATCCTGCCCCCTTCTGTTTTCGTCTATGTGGGTTGTGTCCTTAACCTTTCTTCAGCATGAACCAACTATCCCAACAATACATTCTAGTGTATGAATGCAGTGAAAGCTCATTGGTATCTGGGAGCTTCGCTTGTTTTCTTCTCCCTTTCCTCTTAGTGCTGACGTACTTTCTGCTCTCTCTCATTGGGCAGGGTAAGAAACCACAGCACAACCCAGCTAACTTTCTTACCCTTCTTTGCTTTCTCGTCTCCTTGTCACGTCCTGTAGACGCAGACTTAAGTGCTCAATCCTTTCTACGGTAACATGTACTGTAGAAAGCATAAAAATATTGAGTTGTCACATGAAAAAAACAACAACAACAATTTATGCTTTTTGATCTGACACACAGCGTTAATACATGCAGTGAAAGGTGAAGCAACGCGAGGTTTCGTCCATCGGCTCATAAAACTGTTGGTGTGAATATACAGGAAGGCACGCTTATGCATTATTAGGAAGGAGGTGTGTGTGTGGGGGGCGGGGGAAGGAGTGACTGTCGCTTCACACACACACACACACTGCTCTCGTGACCGGCCGGACTCTGAGATCGGGCGCTCATCTATATCTCGCTACACCTCGCGGTAGATGGAGACACGCAAATCCCCGAGTGTTGAGGATTCCCGACGGGGCGAAGATCCCCGGGGCTTAAGCTCACCGCGGGTGCTCTTGACATGTATCCCGCGGCGGGAGGCGGTGTAGCTCGTCGGCGATGGGAATACCATCTACTCTTGACTCGAATTTATAGGTGTGCTTCCACGGGCGGAGATAGACAGAGGGGGAGAGTGAGCATTGAGTGTACGAGCGGCAGCAGGGAAACGGCGGCGAAGAGAACGCATAAATCATCCATCATATCCACCCCGAGTGCGGTAACCACGGATCTCTGGCGTTGTGTATGGGACTGGGTTAAAAGGTCATGACGCTGCCGCCTTTATATATCTGGCGCCCATCAGGAGCCTTTGGCTGGTTCAATTCTACGAGGACGAAAGTCGGGACGCAATTTCTGCCCCTTTTTCCATTCGCGCGGGGTGCTTGTTTTTGTTTTTTGTTTTTTACTGCCTTTTCCGCACTTAGCACGTGCTATAGTGTGGATGTGCCTAACGCTCGACGACACGATGTTTATGTTTTACGCCCGTCCGTGGTACGTACGTTTGTTTCGTGTTTGCGTTTTTTGCTCGTTTACATCATACATATAATAAGTCACGGCGGTAAGGTACACCCTTCCTAGTGGGTGAAGAACGTTTCAATAGCTGATATAAGCAGGCTTCTATGTATTACATAAACATGAAAAACTATTACATCAGCAGGAGTGTATTTTCTTCAATAAAGGCGCGCGTACGGCCAAGGTATTAGCAAATAAACTACGCTGTCACCTTATGTGATACGTCAGAACTAGGTGTTCTTACTTTTTCCCATTTAGTATTTACTTGCGGCGTTGACTTTGTTGCTGGTGACGTTGCATATATGTAGACATACACCGTGGAGTATGCAGTGCGCACTCTGTGAGATATATTCGTTTAGTTCCTCATTTCTGCCAATTTTTTTTACTATATTTTCAACCGAGTGTGTGGTATCTAAAGTATACTGCTTTTTGTAGACTTCCAACACGCACAACTTCCATAAAGAGAAGAGAAAAACACATTAATATCGGGCTGAACGCTATCTATTGAGTCGGCCCCTCCTCTTTGGTATGGTTAACCTTTCCATAAGGGTAGAACAACTATTTGAATCTTTCTGGTTGTTTAAGCAAATCAGACGGTCATGTTCCAATCACATTCGCACGTACACCCACATCGAATCATCGCGGTAACGGCGTCCACGTATTAATTAGTGCAAGGTTTCTTGTGGATATGCGGCGATGATGCGCGGATACGCGCCGAACTCATTTGGCTTAGTCACTCAAGCGATGGTCTCATTCTCGCTAGCTGAGCCGCAACTGGAGCCATGGAATTGGTTATACATACATCCGTGTCCTTGTCGAGGAGGCGCGTTAGAGAGAACACGTGCCCCACGCAGTCGCAAACTCGACTGCCGTTTCACGCGCTGGTGGGCCGCACCCTTCTGATTAGAACGAATCTGGAACCCCGCCGGAAACAGCGGGTGGGAAAAATAACAACGGGCCTGGCCACTTGTTAGCGTAATTAGCGATTCCCCGCCGAGAAAACTGAGCCGCCCGCCGCCTCTCGACGGGGTTGCAGCGCCGTGTGCAAGACCGTACTGCGATTCTTATCTTATAGAGCTATGAGAATGGTACCGCGCGCTCATATATATATGGTCGGTATGGTTCTACAAGGTCACAGACATGCTATCTGCGTGGCTTTTCACTTCTTTCACGGATCGGGACAGCATATGAGTGTTTGTAAGAATAGTTATAGCTGCTCGTACACTACCCCGGGCGCAACTATAATTGCTGTCTAGTAGAGCGTTTCTTGGTTAGGCAGTTCGGATGCCTCTGCCACTTACCATGCAGTCCCGGTGCCTAATTCAAAAACCTTTCAGTTCGTAATCACACTCTGCCATTGGCCAATAGGAAGCTATAATTACGTGCCCACACGCAGGAGATAAGCGGACATCTTTTATTGCGAACAATTCTAGACTCACAATTAGTTCCCACATAGAGCGCTATAGATATGACTGGGAAGGTGGACGAAACATCAAGTTTTCTGCCCATATCTGGCACGACACCTGAACGGGGAAGTGATTCAAAACGCAGCGCAGAACGTTTTCATGTAAATAGGGTCTGATCTTTAAGTACGCATAGACTCACGCACTGCGAAAGTACCTGCGGCAGCTAATTACCGCTAATGTTTTCTGTAGAGAATGAACGTAAATGGGTGCGTTATTGGATATTTGGATGTTACTGACCTTTCGCGGTTATCGCACACTGGCAGTTTCACTTGCAGTGTGATTTTTGAAAGCCACAATTCAGCTTTTATCGTGAGCGCATTACTTTCGAAATCGCCTGGCTGTTACTGTTAGGGGACTCGTCGTATTCTGGCACTGTAACTGCAGACTTAACCTCTTACGTACAGAGCTAGCAAACACGAATGATTTGCTCGTGACGTATAGTTTCGTTTTCGGTCGTTGTTTGTTTGGTCAATGGCAACGCTAAATTAGCTGGTCATTGTAAGATAACAGACTTTCCTTTTTTTCCCCGCATCCTATAGCAGCTCTTCACAAGTACTATACCCGTATTGGCAAAGTGCCACCGGATAGACGACACGTGCTATGCGTACGGCCTGTTGACATGATGGATGCAGCTGCCGAGACGTTACTGCACGGTGGATTTCCATTCGTCGCGCTGTTTCTTCGTGACCGGGTCTTTAAAAGAAACAAGACGAATGGTAGAAGAAAACAGTGAGATTCAGGCCGATGCACCACCTGTAACCGTTGTACTGGTGCAGTGAATGCATGAAAGGGGCGTCAGCGAAACAATCCATGAAAAATCTACAATCTTCTCCAGCTACGTATACATGGTTGGAGTACATTCTTATAGCGCGTAGTATATATTGGTAATTTTTTTAAAGTGTACAGTTATTGTATCTCCTTACATGCTATATATGAGTGCCAAAAAAAAGGGGCGGTGGCACCGGAGGGCTCGCTAATGCACAAACATGACAAGTCTAGTAATGATTTAGTCTAGTTAGCGATGGAGCTTTCGTTAGTACGCAACCAGTTTTTTTTTTTCGTTGCTTGAAAAGACGTGAGACAGCTTTAGAATTCAGGTAGCGTAAATACATCAAAGGCAACGCTCATCAGGCTCCGAAAACTGGTCAGAGAGAAGGTCACCGCCGTATACAGGAGCCGAATAGCCCGCCATTATACGAGGAAGCCGTGTCTTCGTGAACGATATAGTGGGTGTCCGTATACTCGGAGGCTTGAGCTGGCTTTACAATACGGCTCGACCCACACAGAGTCCGGCTCACGACATTCCGCGCGAGTGGCTTCTGCTGCGGCACTTTTCCACCGTAGAAGAGCATTACGTGTAACCCCGATTGGGCGTCCCGTTGCGGCGCGCCTGCGCAGACTCTGCCGCCGAGATAATCCCAGCGGCAATCCGCGTTATCTCTCCTCCATATACACCGACTCGGAAGTGCTGCTTTTTCGTCCCAAATGTGCAATGTATACAGGCGTCGGTGCCGGCCTTGGACGCTCCCGTAGATATAATCCGGTTCATTTTCCTTATCGCCTTCTCCCTTTTATTCCTAGTTCCCAAGGCTTTCTATCTAGATTCAGTCCGACTCACAGAATGGCAGAGTTTCGCCGCGCACCGCGGAATAGGAAGACGGCGCTCATCATTCTGGACTCCTTCCTAGCAATGTTATCTTCATTTCTTCGGAGACATGCGTACTTACGTTTTTATCGCTCGCCGCGAAAAATCCACGCCATGTCACGCACTCTCTCTCGGTCGTCTATTGGTGTTCGCGGGAGGCCCAGTGCGGGGACCACACCAACGTCGTCTTCGTTGGTCGTGGTAATGGTGGGGCATCGCAGCAGCGATGGCAGCTTTCGCTCCAATCTGTGGCTGTACCTCGTCTTGCCTTTTGCTTTTTTTTCTTCGTGGTGGTGTTCTTTTCCGTCTTCCCCGCCTTCTTGTTTCTTTCCACGCCTCTGAGAGCTTTCGGCGCCGCCTAACTTTTCTTTTCGCGAGCTCTGCTTAGCGCATCTTCGTACGCGGGAGTGAAAAAGACGAAGCGCTATTTCTTTTCTGTTTGCCCTTCTACTTCTTTTCTTTTCTTTTTCCCGCACAGCGGCTTTCTTTCAGTAGAACGCCCCTGTGACGGAAGACCGACACGATCATCTCTCCGGTTAATCTTAATCGTCTTACGCCAGGCAAGACGCTGAGAAACCGGCGGAGGCACAACAAAAACAATAAAGACGCTAGATGGTGGGAGGAACGAGCTTTTGCGGCCGTCTTTGAGCAGCCCTGTCTTCTTCCCCTTCTCCAAGTTTTCTTCTGACACTGTACAACCGAGGCGCAAAAGTGCATCCCTTCGTGATCGGATCGCCCCGGACCATAACGCTGGTTCGCCGCACCGCACTACGCTCAGGCAAAGCAGAGTGGCGAAACTCTTTTTTTTTTCTTTCTATCCGGCATCTACAATCCGGCATCTACAAGTTCGGCGCTTTAATGCTGCTCGGTTTCAGCTGCTTTGGTCCGGCGCTGCAAGCGTAAGGTGGTTGTGCTGCTCTTGGCGGTGGTAGAAAGGGGTTTCGTGTGGAAGTAGCTTTTTATCTCCGACTTTGATCTCGGCTACTATAATTTTAT